CTGACTGATCCTCCCAGCAGATGTCTGGGTAGTTTAGGTCACCCAAAACAGCTACATCCTTTGACTTTACAGCCTCTGTGAGATGACCTGAGAATTCCAGGTCCAGCTCGTGCCCCTGGTGAGGTGGTCTGTAGTCGATGCCCACTATCAAGTCCCTTTCCCCACAACCCCCTTGCATTCTTACCCAGAGTGCCTCAATTTGCCCCTCCTCTGACCCCATCCTGATCATCGAGGATGTGTATATTGCTCTTTGACATACAGTGCTACATCACCACCCTTTTTCCCTGCTCTGTCTTGCCTGTACAGCCTGTAGCCTTCTATGTCCACTGCCCAGTCATGGGTAGAATCCCACCAGGCTTCTGTGAGCCCCACTAGGTCTGGGTTTTTGCTAGCTAGCAGGAGGGTGAATTTCTCCTGCTTATTCCCCAGGCTTTGAGCATGTGTGTATAAACATTTGAGGCCTCCTGTAGGTGCATGTGCCGCCCCCTTGTTTCTAAGCCTGCCCTGGCCCCTATCACTTACCTGCCCATGTCACCTGGCTTGACGACGAAGTGTCCTCATGTTCCTCTGCGTCCCCGTCCCCCGGTGAACCTAGTTGAAAGCTTGCCGTATGAGATCAGCCAGCCTGGAAGAAAAAACATGCTTACCTTTCGGGGAGGGATGAAGCCCGTCCTGCCCAAGCATGCCCTCTGTGTGGAAGTGTGCATCGTGGTCCAAGAACCCAAGGCCCGCCTGGTAACACCAGCTCCAAAGCCGCTGGTTTACCTCACCAATGCATGCCTCATGGTGCCACCTGTGTCTGCTCACTGGAAGAGTAGAAGAGAAAGCCACCTGTGCCCCCGTCTCCTTGAGCTTGGCCCCTGGAGCCTTGTAGTCTCTCATGATGCAGTCCCGGCTGCTCCTAGCCACATCATTCATTCCCACATGGATGAGGACCATGGGGTATTGATCAGAGGGTCGTATGAGGCCCAGGATCATCTCCATGATGTCCCACATCTGAGCTCCAGGCAGGCAACAAACTTCACATGCCATGGGGTCAGGGTGACAGATGGGCCCCTCCATTTCTCTCAGGACGGAATCGCTGATGACGAGGACCCAGCATCTCTTCCTCTTGGTGTTCCAGTATCGCTCAGACTATGCCATGCATGGAGTGGCATCTGCTCCTCTGGAGGCATCCTCTCCTACTTCCTTCTCCACAGCTGCCAGGGCCTCATTCCTGTTCCCCAGCTGTACCTGGGGGGCTGACACTGTGGTAGCACAGGTAGCCCTAGCTCTGGAGGTGACTGTCTGCCATACCGTTGCAGTGGGTCTCTCCCGGGGGACTTCTCCACTACGTTCCTGACCCTGTAGAGAATGAAAGTACTGTTTCATCCTTGGAAACCCTGATCACTCACAGCCTGCTGACCTCAGCCTGGAGCTCCCTCACCTGCTCCTCCAAGGCCCAAAGGTGGGCACATGCGAGAAAGGCAAGGCAACTCCTGCTCCCCACTCCACCCCCCCAAGCCACAGAGGCCCCACCAGGCATCTCCCAGACAGGGGAGGAGGGTGACTCTAGCCCCCCCTCAGGCTCTGTCTGGGTGGAGGCCTCAGAGGAGCCCTGGGCAGGCAGTGCTACCAGGGCTGGAGCTGTTGCTGATGTATTCACACAATACTCTCTCTTAGTCTCTATTTAGAAACCATCTATGCTGCAGCAGAGAGAGGCTTAAATTTTATACATATACTGCTAATGGTGAATTCTCAATTGCTTTTTCAGTATTATGAATCTAAGGATATTACAAGTAGTTAACAGGCACCCAGCAGTGACATTGCCAGTATTGCCACTTGAGAAGGAAGTGGTGTCAGTCACAAAGGCTGAGAGGGATGCCTGTGATCTTCTCTTCTGTCGGTTGTGACTGGCAGCAGCAACATGGATAGGAGCCAGAGAAGGAATGGGGTGGGGCGGGGCATAAGAATTTGTTTTGGAAAACCACCATGCAGTGCCTTCTGCCCTGAACTTGGGTACTCTACTGGGGTGTGGGGAGTGGGGCTCAAACAGGAAGGTGAGGTGGAGAAAAGTGGCCGATGGCCAAGGAAGGGGGGAGGGCGCTCCCCCCCACCACAAACTTTGCGCTGCAATTGTGGGTCTTCATGCTGTGCAATACCATGCGCCTTCCTTCACAGCAATTAAATCCACCAACCCTATTTACATCAAAGTTGAAGTAAACAATGCAACCCCCACGCTCAGGGCACAGCCCAGTGTCAGGTGCCGCTTACCAATGCATACGTAAAGTGGTATTGTCTTTTAAGTCCCATGTCGCAAAGCAGCTCTCATCCTGCATTTGAACACTGCACTGCACCTGACTTCATCAGCCACAACCTGCACTCTTCTTGAGCACTGCATTAGCAGTCCTGTGCAACCCAGTAGCAACTCTCCCAGCTGGACTGAGTCCTTCTGCCTCTGTCTGATGTGCTGCCATCTGTCACGCACCTCAAAACTCTCTGATTGACCACTGCTCCCACAATTTATAGGCCTTGAGGAGGGGAGGAACCCTGCCACTTGCCACCCCTTTGCCAACCTTATTTTGAAGTAAAAAAAACTCCAGACAGGGTGGCGCTAGACTGCAAAAGAGCATGAAAATCCAGGCAAAAAAAGAGCACCAAAACCCTGTGCAAAAAATGGGGGGAAAAGACTTTGCAGGGGGAAGCCACTTTGGGTTGCTCTGCAAATTGGGTGCGTGTGGGACATGGAATGATTGTGGTACCCCAGTGTCAATTCCCAGGGATGCTGGCAAGCTAGACTTGCGACAGGATGGCAGGCTTGGTCAGAGGAACAAATTGGCCAGGGGGGAGCTCCTTTGGGTGGCCTATAGTACCGACCCCCAATGCCAAGCCTAACTTGAGGGGGGTTGCAGGCAGCCACTTACAGAGCTTTGCACAAAAAGATTTCATGAACCCCCTGCATCAGGTACTCAGAAAAGCAGGGGTGGGGGAAGAGTGCAGGAACAGGCTTGGGGCAGCCCTTTTGGATGGATGTCCACCTGTCTGACCCCCGGTACCAAGCCTTGTGAAGGGGAGGAAGGCTTTGCAGAAGTTGGGCAGCACTGTTTATTGAACTCAAAACCCCCAAAATAGGGATGTCTCTAAAGGAAAGCCGATGACATTCCTGTCCATTGAAATCAAATGCCATCTTAAAATGACCCCTGGCATAAATTACTAATGCGAGAGCAGGAGGGTAGAATTGTTATGACATGCCCCCTAGTGTTCTTTACCAGTAATAGCATATTAAGCCATAACATGCTAAATTATGTACCCGTTAGGTCATTAAACATGCTACATTACAAGAGTGAAAAAAATGGGAACATCTTTAGCCAGAACAGGCTGATGCTGTGGACAAGTGCCCAAGGTGAAGTGCTGCTATTTTGCTTCACAACTGCGGTCTGTGAATTAATTTTTATCTATTTTTACCGATAGGTAATTCATCAACAAAAAATATTTTAAATTGTCACTGAAATTTTACTTTGAAATGATTGGAGGTTTTGGAGGGGAAAAAAGGCTGTTCAGTAAGGAAACCAAAACCTGAAAACTAAATGCGCATTGGATTTTTTTTTTTAATTATTTTATTTTTTTATTTTTACAAAAAAAAAGTTTTTAAAGGACAAGGGACATTTTTGTGAAAGTTACCAATTTCTTGAAAAAACAATTTCCAGCAGAAATACTGCAACAAAATCTTCCTGCTCGTTTCTTATGAACTGGATTCTTTATAGGATGACTCCAACTCCACTGCCTTAGTGACAGCCCCGTTCCAGCTAACATTCTTTTTATTGCCTTGTCAAGCCACAGAAAGTTTTCCTGATTCACTGAGCTCTTTAGAGTATTTCTTACCTAATGTCTCCTAAATACTGTCTTATGGCTCCACTGTCTAAGTTATGATGCTGCAGACTTTCCATGCTGTTGGGAATACTTAAACAATGAGCATTAGTTTTAAGAATGAATTACCATGGTTTCTTGGGCTCTTTCATATAAGGCCCCTTCATGTGAGGCCGCAAGTTCTGTACTGTCACTAGCACTATCATAACAGCAGTCCCGTTTCCCAGAGATGACTGCATATTATTGTTGATGTAAGGAGATCATATGGTTGGGTTATGCCCTGCAGCTTCACATGGGCACCAGGATTGTGTGTGTACAAGTCTGTTCCACTCCCACACTAGTACCTCTGCAGAACAGGATGACAACAGCAGTCTGTACTTCCAAAATGCAGGGTCAGCATCTTTGTAACTTTTAGGGTGCCATAAAGGAGCACAAAGGAGCCATATGGTCCAAGAACCCTCCTCTTTCATTAGCCAATATGTCTGGCCAGCATGCTTAGTGGCATATATTTCATTCTAAGAGTGCAGATGCACAAAAATTGAACCACTGCAAAATACCTCTGGTCTAAGTGTTATATGTGTCCATACACTAATGTAGCAGCTGGTACAAGCCTCTGAATTTCAGGATGCTTAGGTAGGTAACATGGAGCTGTGTCTTGAATCACGTTAGCCCAGATTTCTAATTTTCTCCAGTGCTTTGCTACTCTTTACACATCCGCTAACCATATATAATTTATTGGCTTTTGACTCCTCCCAAACTACCAGAAATAGGTCATGCTTAGGTCACTGGAAAGCTCCTTTCACTTGGGTTTAATAAGGTCCATGATGCAGTTTGTGGCACTGCTCAAACTAGGTGCTAATAACCTCTCTGAACATTACACACAAATATGTACATGTACAGGTTTTTGGCAGATTTTTCTCTTGCAATTAGTGGATAAAGATGAACTCAGTCAATAGGGCTTAGGTTGTAACTTGGGGAAGGTGGCGAGACTGGAGCCCATGCAGTTATCTCCATAGCCAAGGGCCTGCTGCCCAGAGATCTGCTGGGAGTCAGCACTGGCTTTGTCAGCTTTGAGCACACAGGGCAAGAGGCTGCACCAGAAGCTCCAGCAGCCATGTATTTATGATCTTGGCCTGTGTTTGTTTCTCTTACAGGTTAACAATCCATGCCGAGTGCCCCATGCACCTGGAGGACTTCCCAATGGATGTACATGCCTGCCCACTGAAGTTTGGAAGCTGTAAGTGCCAGGTTCAGCCTTCTTCGCAGAGACACACTGGCACAGTTTTACATGTATAAATCCTGGTAGCTTATTTCTTACTACTACTTATTTCTTCAATAACACTTCAATTGTGTTTTTAGATTATCTTACTAGTTATACAGTGCTCAAGCATTTGCCAAGGGTTTTACATAAGTACAATAAAACTACACCTTCCCCTATTACAGACAAGATTGCTGCGTGCATATGTGCAGGTAATTTGGACTCTGGGGTGGGTTGGTGATATTTGATCTCGCTGTGAGTTTGCCACTTAAGCAAGCAGGGTTCCCCTCCACAGCGGCATGTGGATGGAAATACTCAATGTGTTTTCTTCAGAGAATGCCAGTTTACCAAAATGAGACATCTCGCAGGACATTTTTAATCTCAGCAGAGTTGTAATGGGGCCCTGCCAACCTGGTAGGCTTCAAACCCTGCTTGGTTCTACTGTCCCACACAACCAGCTTCTGAGCATCCCACTGGATAGACTGATGGGAAATGAAAGCCCCAAAACCCTGGGAGCTGGGGTTCCTGGCTCTTCTTCAGCAAAAAAGGTGGGATGGTCAGGAGCCAGGATCCTGGAAACCACAGAGCACTAGCTCCTCAATTGTAAAGTCACAACTCTGCAGCAGTCTGGGTTCCCAGGACTGTCAGAGGCTGCATCCCACTACATGGACTGTCTTTGGCACTCCATTCATTTTCACTTAGAATCTCAAACCTCTTGGATCTCATTCCAAATGGGAATGAAAAGTATCAAAATCCTCCACAAAGTAAAATTATCTTTCTCTGTACAGCTCTATGCAGAGTCGCCTCCTAGTGTGGGGAGCTGCCCTTCAGTCTACTTCAACCTTTTGAGAGTTACCTATTCCCAAATATATAAGAGTTTGGACCACCACCTGATGACACTCTAGGGTCTCAGAAAATGTAATAGAATAAAGCACCCAACCATCTAGTTTGAAAGAGAGGAAATTCAAAATTCATGGGAAGGAAACACTTGTTAATGCCAAGTGGAATTCGTCACCGAAGGAGAGTAAGTGCACGAGGGTTAAATAGCCTCATACTTAAGAGTATGAGAAGAAAGAGAAAAACCCTCATGCTACAGGGTTTAAAGCAGCCTCTGACCATTGGGGCTTCTCACAAGATCTTTGGGGGAACAGATTATCCCACATCTGCCAACTGTGAGCTTTCTTCAACCTTCCTCTGAAACAGATGCTCAAAAGAGGGATGTTGTACTAAATGGATGATGGGTCTACTCTAAGTTTAGCCATTTGTATGGGTGCCAACACTGCACACACACAGAATGTGATGTAGAAGATCCTGAGGCTATGGTCCAGCAAGCAAGGTGTGTGTATGTGTCTCAATAAGTTACAACCAAGAAAACTCTACCATAAGTACACACTGTGAGACACTTATCCTGTTACTACCTTCAGACACAGGGAAAGATGCTATTTTTAGATAGAATGAGAATACAACTGGCCATCCGCTTAATTACTTCTAGCTACAAACAGAATATGTATATGCCCATTATGTAAAGATGTCAGCTTGCTTTTGTCATAATCCTGAGATGCTGTAATCTAGGGATAGGTAATTGTACCCTAGGACAGTCTTTATTCTGGCAGTAAATTTAGTCCCTGCTGTGCTAATCTCTGCACTGTTCCCACTGAGCAGATCCCATGGCTGCTGTCTCTCTGAAACAGTGAAAGAGTGGCTGCAGTGGACATCAGGACCAGACTAGGCAAGGACTAACTGGACTCTTTCCCTGTGACTATTAGAGAAATAGCTAGACTGACCTTCTATCTATAATTCCTGCTTGGAAGCAAGCACCATGTTGGTAACATCAGCAGCAGGATCATGCCTAGAACAGTCATTTGTTTTAAAGCAGCTTCCTATATTTTTTCTCAGATAATTTTATATGTTCTTATAATTGCATGTACCAAGTCAGTCCTACTCTTCATTCTGCTGGTGAGCAGAAGTGCTAATGGCATGTTTTCTTGATTACCGTTAGTTATAGTGTAATAACAAAGACTGCCAGGAGGAGACATCATAGCTTTCTTTTGTAGGGACAGGCATTCCAGCCCTAACTGTCGGAGAGTGAAATGAGAGAGCAAAGCCAGAATAACACTCTCACCTAGCAAAGCCTGGAAGCATCTTTCCTTAGATCACCTCTCTTTCATTTATTTGCTGCAACACAAAAGTTAGGATAGGAGGAAGAAATGGAGGAAAGGAACTTGTGTGCATGTCTCCGGTAGAACCAATTGGTTAATGGTTCTTGGTGTCATCTTAGTTTCATAGTTTCATAGTTTCTAGGGTCGGAAGGGACCTGAGCAGATCATCTAGTCCGACCCGCTGCCTTGGCAGGAAAGAGCACTGGGGTCAAACGACCCCAGTAAAGTGGTCATCCAACCTCCTCTTAAAAACCCCCAGGGTGGGAGCCTGCACCACCTCACTTGGAAGCTGGTTCCCTAGCTGCCCTGACCGTGAAGTAGCGCCTCCTGATGTCCAACTTAAACTTTCCCTCTGCCAGCTTGTGACCATTGTTCCTGGTCACTCCTTGCGGCGCTCGGGGGAACAGGGACTCCCCCAGCGCCTGCTGATCCCCCCTAACCAGTTTATAACAGGCCACAAGATCCCCCCTCAGCCTTCTCTTTTGAAGGCTGAACAGGTTCAGGTCCCGCAACCTTTCCTCATAGGACCTACCCTGCT